GCTGGGACAACAAAAGAGTTTATGATTTTAGAACTTACAGGTTTAAGAAATAACCAAAGATTAACTTATCAAGTAAAATATAGTATAGATATTTGTGATTATTTTGAAGAATATAACATAGTAGGAACATATAGTAAAGATTTAATTGAAATTTTAGAAATTTTAAGAATTTTTAGAAACTTACCTGTTGAAATAAGAGAAAATATAGTAAAAAGAATTTTAGTAGAAGAATATAAACATATTTATATTTTAGAAGAAGTCTCTTATATATTATAACTCTGGATACCAAAAGACAGCTTGATTATTTAGATTTAGATTTAAGAAATACCAGTAAAAAAGTACAAAAAGTTGATAATAATATAATAAAGTGTAATTTAGAAAATAAGCATAAATTACATAGTTTATTTTCAGAAGATCCAAGTCAGAATTGTTTAATAGACTTAATCATAAATTTATCAAAAAATTTAGAATTAGGAAATAAAAAGAACATTAATTATTTAGAAATTATAAAAGAAAATATTACTGTAAGAGGTCAAGAAATTAGAAATATAAAAGAATCTTTAGATTATATCAAAAATCAAAATTCTAGTATTTTAGAAAATTTTGTTAAATTAGAAAAAATACCATCTAAAGTAGATTTAACAGAAATAAAAAGAATTTTAGATTATAATAAATCTAAAGAAATAGAAATAACATCTACATCAAGTGTAGAAAAAGATTTAAAAGTTTTAACAAATACATTAGAAAATTTAAGTTTTAGAGAAATAGGAAAAGAAAAAGTAACTAGAAGATTATCTAAAGAGTATAAATTTCCAAGATGAATACAAATCATTTCTTAGGAAGATCTAGAACAATAAATGAAGAAGTATCTACATCGAGAAATAGTACTTCAAGTATAAGCAGAAACATAATAGAAAGAGTTTTAAATAGACCAGTACAATATAATCAAAATATAGAAGAAATTATAGATCCTCAACAAGATTATTTAAGATTTCAAACTAATGGATTAAGAATTCTTAACCCAGAAATATTATATAACAGAGGAATTTTTGAGACAATGACACAATTTTTTAGACATAGTAGAGAAGTATCTGTTCAGTGTATAAGAAATCAAGTAAGAAAATTAAATTTAATATCAGAAGATTCTAAGAGAGAATTAAAAAAGAAAAATTTTAGATTCATGCATTTAGGATTAATAGTTATAGGAATAAAAGGATTAATGAGGAAGAATTTAGGATGTAAGGTTTTAGTTACCATATATGATGAAAGAATTAATAATATAGACAAAAGTATGATTGCTAGTACAGAAGTTGATATGAATAATAATAATGGAATAATTTATTGTAATCCAGATTTTTTATTAACTATTAAAGATTTTTCAGAAAAAATTAAACTAGGAATTCAAACAAAAGGATATGAAGAAGTTGAAAGTGGAGATAATTTATTAATTAGTATATGATTTTTAGGAAGATGTTCAAATAATTCCCAAACAAAATATAAAATTTATATAGATAAAGTCGTAAAATTAATGAGTAGTAAAAGAATTAATATGGTTAAACCTAAAAAATATTTATCAGAACAATTGGCAGGATTAGAATGGGATATGGATAAATTTTTAGAAAATCAAGAAACTATTATAGCACCACAGGAAGCATTAACTTATAAAGATATTCATGGAAGAACTAGTTTAAAATTTTTAGATTAGAATCAGGTACAAAGATAGAATGATTTTGAACAAGAAACTAATCCTAAAGAAGAACAAAATGAACCATTTCAAAATCAAGTTCATATAGAATTAATAGATGAAGAATTAGATAAAATAATTTACCCAAAAG